CAATATTAACTTTCCCAGAAGGAATTCAGAGATAGGAAATCTAGGGGATTTTCAATATTTCATTGAAAAATCATTTATACATTTTAGGAGCATTTTAAATTCCAGTTGGTAAGTCTTAATCAAAACAAAGAATTGAAGATTTTGTCAGCCTTGATTGTAACTCACAAATATATCTAGCTTTAATAACTATATGTTTGAATTTTTTAAAAATTGAAATTAGGCTGAGTTGATCCTTTATATCTGTATTTATTTTTAAGCCACTTTACTCTTTAAGTTTTAGTGATGATCTAGTACCAAATCTTGAAAAAGTCTATTTGACACAATTTATATTTTTATAAATATTTTCTAACATTTTAGTACATGCTATGAGCCAAACACTGCTTGTTATACTTCACCAGAAGTTTATGAGTTGCACATAATATCAGTAACTTCCTTTTACAAATAACATGACTAAGAAAGAAAGATAGCATTACTTGAGTGTAAGTAATTTAGGGATTTGACCTCAGGCAGTATTATATATGTATGCTAAGTATTTAAAATAAATTCTAACAAAACAGAATAGTGTAATAAATAAAAGACATTTCCTTAAATCTTTGAGGCAACAAGGCTCCCAGTATTTTCTGGGGGTCTGTGTGTGTTAGGAAAAGGTTTCAACATTCTGATAGGCATTGGCACCTCTGCCTTAGCTTTAATTTCTTATTTGTGTAGAGCTTCAAATAAAAAATAAGGCCTTGTTAGGTATACTGGGGGGTGTATACTGCCCTGCATATGTATATGGCCTTCTACATTCTCTAAAATATACCAGGGCTTTCCAACAGCCCCTGTGGTGCTTTCATTGCCCTATTTTTCCTTTCAAGTTTTCTGGTTAAGCCTCCTGATAGCCACCTCAGGCAGCTGTGTGCTAAAGAATGATCATGAATTTTTTTTTGACAAACACTTTGATGATAGGGATGTTTGCACAGTGTGAGCTTTCATTCAGGTCAAATAAAGACAGAAAGAAAAGCCCTGAGATTGCAGCACCTCAACTAGCTTCCAAGTGGGCTTCTGTCAATATCTAAATCAGTTCTGTTTTCAGCAGCAGTGGCTAGACTAATGGTTTTCATAGCTACCATCTGTGTGAAGCTACTGAATTTCAAGGCTATCTCAGAGCTAGAAGGATAAACAGGAGTAAGGCAGGTTAAAATGACATGAAACTTGGTATTCTTGTCAAGGTTTATTCACCTTAAAAATAAGGAATCTTTTGATTGTCATCATCCCTTAGTAAATTATGAGAGTCTAAAAAAGACAATTCTGTATTTTTGACACTGTATTCTTTGAAAAGCAGATTTTGGAGAACTATATCATTCTGAAAGTTAATCTCCCTTTAATTCATTTTCAAGTTGATTGAACTTTAGATAGTCACCAAAATTTTAGCAAATTGTAGTGCTGGGTAATCTTGTTATAGCTTTGTGGCATGCTTCTGTTGGCTATATAAAATCATGAGTCAATTTTTTGTGTATTAACTGCTGAAAATAATACTAAAATTACCATCTGAATATGTCTTTTAAAAAATAAATAAGTGAATAAGTGAATAAGTCTCTTCATCCTAGAATGTCAAGCTCTGGTCCTTGTATTGAATTTATTTGATACCAACAAACTAGATCAGGAATCAGCAAACTATATCCAATGGAACGATATGACTCAATGTTTATTTATGTTTTTAAAATATATCTTATTAGAAGCTTTTTAAAATTTATTTTTAACTAATACTAAAAACATAAAAGTTGTACATATTAGTGGAATACTATGTAATGTTCCAGACCTTTACACACTGCGTAAAGTTGGAGTCAGGTTAAACACACTGGGTCTTCAAGCATTTCCTCATGGGAAAGCTTTCAAAGTCATTTCCTATACACTTTTTAAAATCATAGTATTTTCATTTAAAACTTTTTGGAACAGAGCAATTCCAGTTTGTTTAGGGATTGTCTATGCCTGCTATTGTGCTCTAAAGCAACAGAAACTATAATAGACAAGTCTGAAATATTTGACTTCTGGCCTTTAACAAAAAAGGTTTGGTGATCCTTGAATTAAATTATATCAATGAATAGACTTGTAGAAATATAGAGTTGGAATTAGGGCTTCCATTAAGTGTTTGCAAAGAGGAGTGCATCAAGGGAGGCCAGCACACACGCTCAATCAGTAGTCTTGTGATGGCAATGCTACCAAAGCAGACCCTTGTTTCTGAAGATTCATCAACTTTGTTGTATGCCACAAAGCTTTGGGAGGATACCATGCTAATTAACTTTCTAAGGGTCTGATCATTACAGTAGAGTGTGAGTAAATTAATTGACAATAAGAAATGTTGGCATATAAAGTAAGTTCTTTTTCTTAGAAAGACATATATTCAAGAAGACTAATATTATTTCAAGAAGTATTTAAAACCTTGAAACCAGCTGGGCCTGGTGGCAAAGGCCTGTCATCTCAGCGCTCTGCAAGGCTGAAGCAGGAGGACCACAAGTTTGAGCCCAGCCTGCACAACTGAGTGACCTAGTGAGATCCTATTTCACTGAGATCCTAACTCAAAGCAGTTCAACAAGGACTATGGACATAGCTCGGCATGAAGGCCTGGGGTTCAGCCATCAGAACTGTAAATATAAATAATAAACAAAAAAGTTTGAAATCAGTAAAGAGAGTGAAAAAGTTACCAAGATTGCCTATAAACCAAATAATTTTTCAATCTTCATTTGGGTAATTATCAATCTTAAGAATGACCAAAAGAAGAGAAAAAAAAAAAACAAATAAAAATCTAAAAGAAATACTAATAAATTGAATGAAATAATATGTTAAAATAAAATTTGACCATGATTAGATACTTCTTTTCCAGGAAATTGAATGTTGAATACTAAGATAGTTATTTATAATATATGAATATAGCAAAGAAGAAAATTACAGCTCTCTTAATAGATGTCAAAAAAGTGTATGACATCAATCAACTGAAAAAGAACTCTCCTCCAAAGAATGTCTACTATTCAAGTCATTTTTATTCATTAATACACTTAAAAAAAACTCTCCTCCAAAGAATGTCTACTATTCAAGTCATTTTTATTCATTAATACACTTAAACTTGTACTATTTCATATCAACAGCAATTTAAAGTTTTTCAATATGTTGAAAATTATTTTGCTAGTCAATCAGGGAAATTATTCAGTACTGGTACTCTTGGAAAACGCAGTAGAATGAACTAAAATATGTGTTTATAGAATAATGCTTGTGTGTTTTTTACTAGAAGTAAATGAGAAAAAAATTTAAAGGTTAATAGTAGAAGTTACACTTATAAAATTCTCATGAATAAACATAAAAGTATTTGAGAGACTTCTTATGTCTACTTCTGCTTACACTCCAGAATTTCTCTTTGGAAGTTTGTACTTTTTTCAATTTTATTTTTGTTAATACCTGATTGCAGTATACAATGACTGCACTCATTGTGGACATCTGGCACATGCACATAACACATCTTCATTCTGTTTGTCACCCCTTCCTCTCCCCTCCTTTCTCCCTCCCTCCATCTCTTGATCCCCACCCCTTTTGCAAAAGATCTATCTCCCTGTTTCTTATTACCTACCTTTTGCTCTTTAATTTATTTATACTTTGGGTTTCTCATGTAAGAGAAATCGTGTGATATTTAAGCTTGCATTAACATTATGGGTTTAGGGTGTATTTATTTTCCTACACATCACTTAAGTATATCCTTCTTTATGGTAGAGTAGTACTTGAAAAAGGCCTATATGTCTATGAACAGATGAAGGGTTAAAGATAATGTGGCACTTATATGCAATGGAGGTTTGTATTGATTAGAATTATGCATGGCCCCAAACTGTGATTACAAAGATGGCACACTGGCTCAAACCCACCACAGCACACCTCTCCAGGCCTGAGCTGGATCTGTGCAGGTCCAGTGTTCTCTCCTAGAGACTCTCAAAATTTTATACTTTCTATTTAAATCATTCACTTCCCAAAGCGTAGCAACCTTTATCTGTCATTTGCTCTAATACCACCTCATTGCCAGCATTTTTCTCTTTACAAAACCCATCAATGTTGTCTCCCTCTTTCTCTCTCTGTCTCTGTTTCTGTGTCTGTCTCTGTCTGTCTGTCTCTCTGTCTTTCTCTCTCTGTGTGTCTCTCTGTGTCTCTGTCTCTGTGTCTGTTTCTCTCTGTCTCTGTCTTTCTCTGTCTCTGTCACTGTGTGTGTGTGTGTGTGCGTGTGCACGCGTGCGTGTACAAGTCTTGCTTCCATCCTGTGTAACGATGTGCTGATAAATGAATATTTGCTCTGCTTCCTGCTTCTCATATGAAGTTACTGCTCTCGTGAAGCTCTGTTAGGTAAAGGCTGTGTAGTCCTGCACATCGTACCTACTTCTCCTCCTTCCCCATAGTACCACTTTAAAGTGAAAATAAAAAGAGAACCAGCACCCTGCTTCCTTAAGCTCATATCATTTAATTAAAAACTTAATTTGCCTCTCCATTTCTTCTTCTCATTGAACTCCAAATCACTTTGTAATTCATTTAAAATACTGAAACCAGGCCTGTTAGAAAGATCGTAGAGGACAAGTTCTAGGTGAGAGGCAAATAGTGACAGGGATTGATGAGGAAATTTAATTCTCCCACCCCTTCAAACTCCAACAGAGGCCTGGCCTTGCAGTATATAAATGGAGGTAAAGGGCTGGGGATTTAGCTCAGCGGCAAAAGCGCCTGCCTGGCAAGCGCAAGGTCGTGAGTTCGGTTCCCGGTACCGGAGAAAAACCAAAAAAAAAAAAAAAAATAAATGGAGGTAAAGTCTTTTAACAATGTAAAATAAAGAACTGATTTTAACAATGAAAGCTTTTAGAGTAATGTGAATTAAATTAATATATAAAATGGATTTGCTGCATGAAATTGTCTCCAGAAAACCCCTCAGAATGGAACTTCTGTGATGTAATAACTTCAAAGTAATCACACTCAGGGTTCTTTTGAGTGGAGAGAATCTTTACTGAGAGACCACTTCAGGATTCAGATGCACTGTCGGCTGTGATGGTATGTGCTTGGCTGGTGCTTGGCGTGTGCACGGCAAGACCCAACTGTTGCATTCTTACTGCTTAACTGAAGTATTTCTTAAATCTTATATAAATGCTTCCAGGTACCATAAAAATTTTAAATCATTCTAGCTGTTCCATTATGGCACTATGAATACTATTTTCCATTCTTATTAGATCAAGATGGTTTATAAACAATAGGAAATGCACAAGGACTCTCTTATACCATTTTATCCATAGAAAATTGCAACATAAAGCAGCTAAATCAAACTGTATATTTACCTGAGTTGCTTTCATAGAAAAAAAATCTATAAGGAGAAAAAGAGAATGTGGTGTTTCTAACTCAAAAAATCAGATCCAAATCCTAAATCCATTCTATATATATAGAACACTTTTAATTTATTCTCTTACATCTGCCATTCTCTGTGACTATTAGTGTTATTCATAATAGAATTGGTTTCCAAAAACTGAGAAATTGTTTCGTATTTTTCTGTCCTCTTAGTGATTCCATTCTTTTAGTACTTGATGGGCATAGATCTCTCCTTCTATTTCTTCTATTTTCTATAATGGAAGATAAATATACTTATATACACATATAGAACCATAAACATCAGAGATGCACATATATATATTTATATACACTGCCATAAGCAATTATATGTTTTAATCATTTTTCATAATTTCTAAACATTCTAACTCCTGTACAAATATATGTATATATCATACAAGTATATGTATATATGCTTGTAAATATAAATAAGTGGTTTGTCATAAAATAAATGTACATAATCACCAGACACAGAAATAGAACATGAACAGGACCTCTAAGTCTCATACAAGTAGTCCCTCATCCTTAGTTGCCACTCCTTGCTTTGTCCTCCACAACTCTGTAGGTTTTCTCCCCATGGCCCCATGGAAACACTCACTCTTGCATTTACATGGTAGATGGTCTTCTAGAGACTGTATAACACATACTTATTGCTGTGTAATGACTTGGTGTTGTACAATCACTCAGGCCTAGTGAATATCATTCTCCTTGGAAATGATGTGTCAGATGATAGGAAAAATAGGCTTTGTTTCTCAGTGTATTGACTGAAAATTAAAGCATCAATGAAGTGACAGAAGAACTGATGTCACTCTGACCCAAAGTGACCCATCACTCAGGCTGCAAATCAGTGTTTGTTCTCTCTGGCAGCCACTTATCTCTTCCCTACTCTGACCCCAAGCAGCCCAGTAATCTTTGCTTTCCCCTTGTTTCAGGGCAAGGAGAGGACAGATTTTACCTTACAGTGCTTGGTTCTCTGCACTTTACTCCCAGAATAAAAGCAGGTAGGCTTACTGCTTAGAGTTCAATTTTCATTCCAAGTTTTTACAGAAAATAAATGATGAAGTGAAAAGAAGTAGGACAAAAAGAAATTAGATAACAATGACACAATGCTGAGAAAATATCTTTCCCATTATTTGGACAGATGGCACTGCTAGAATAGAGACTAGAGCCCCAAATACTAGTAACTGTAGAACTTTTTCACAGAGTTGCAGAGAAGTATCACTGAAAATTTTATTCTAAATGAAGTTGGGCTGTGTCTTTGAGTCAAGGTAAGTAATTAGTGTTAGAATACAGTGTATAGATGTGTCCTCATCATAAAGAAAAGCCTTGAAGAAATGTGTAAGTGAAACATAAATAAGTCATATTTACCTGACTACTTATCAAAACTAGTTCAATATATCACAATAAATCACATTTCCTTAGAATTATGTTATAAAATAGAAAATTCTGTGCTATGTGATATTTATTATATTTTCTTCTACCTCAGATTTGAACATTTTACCTGAGAATTTAATTGTCCATTACAAAGATCTGCTTATTGTAACATATATGATATCACTTTTATTATCACTAGCATCAATTAAAATTATGTTGGCTGTTGATTTATAAAAACTCTTCTAGATTCTCTATATTTCAGACATTAAAATTTCATTACTATAATTGTCTTAACATAATTTCTCATGTAATGTTTCTTCATGTGGAAATCAGTAGGGATATTTTTCAAAAAACTAAAACTAGAAATTCCATTTGATCCAGCAATACCATTGCTTGCTATATTTTGGAAAGAATTAAAGACAGTTTACTATAGTTATAGATGCATACCCTGATTGCTGTAGTGCAATTCATCATAGCAAAGCTGTGGGAAAAAAAATCCTAGATGTCTATCAATAGGGAAAAAGATACAGAAAATGTGGTGTGTCTTGCAAATATAAGTTATGTTCAAACAATGGTGAGATGGATAAATGTTAGTAAAATTAAAGAAAAATTATTCTGCTACAAAGAGCTGCCTGAAGTAAGCAAAAGCCGTGATTTATTTAATATTTAAACTTTAAATCTTCTATCCAGAGTTCAAATCTGCCTTATAGAGAAAGACTGTCATCTGTTCTTATTATATTCCATCAGTGTTCAGTTTTATAAGTTTTTGTCTCCCTTGTCAAAAGAGAAATGCCTTTGTTTGCACAAGGCATCTGACTTCACAAAGAGGTAGTGGTGTTAAAATCTTTTGGAAATGAAATCAGAGAAATTGTGGATGATACAAAAAAACAGCCAGTCTTATTAAACAAACACTGATCCATCTAAGAAGGTTTGTAGAAACCATGAAAAAACAGAGGCAAAAAGGAAATAAATCTTCTGTCACATGCCAAGTTCCAGTGGCTTAACAGAGTCACAGTGTTTAACAAGGTGTTCAAGTTCAAGACTAAATTAAAGAGCAAATCTATCAGGCAGAAAATCAGAAAGGATATAGGTGAACTCACCAACACTATCAATCAACAGGATATAACATCTACAGAGTACTTCGCTAACAATAGAATACACATTTTTCTCAAACTCACATAAAGTATTCTCAAAGATATAACACATCCTGGGCCATAAGACACAAATTAACAAATTCAAAAGAACAGAAACCATGCTTTAAGACCACAATGAAATTAATTAATAATAGCACTATAAAGGAAAAGTATAAAATATACAGAGAATTTAAAAATAGGCCAAAGAGAAATGTCCACAGATTTTTAAAAAGATTTTTAACTAAGTAAAAGTGAAAATATAACTCATAAAAAATTGTTAGAAATACAAAAAGCAGTGCTTAGAAGGAAATGTATGGAGATATATACATTTAATATATATATACATAAGCTTTAAAGTCAATCACCTCATCAAACTAAAAACAGAAGACCAAATATAAAAAAAAAGCAGAAAATACAATTAAATTAGATCATAAATCAAAGAAATTAAAAACAGGGAATCAATAGAGAAAAAACAATGAAACCAAAAGCCAAATCTTTCAAAAGATAAAAGGAAATCCTCTAGGCAGGCTAACTGAGAAAAAAGAGGATACAAATACCATTATCAGAAATGTCAGAAGATATATCAGATAAAATAAAAACTTCACTGCAAGATCAGGCTGCCTTGATCCCAAGAGTGCAAGTGTGCTCAATGTACAAAAAGCAATAATAACATCGCAGAACAAAGGGAAAGAGTGGCCTGATCGTCTCAGTGGGTACACACAAAGCTTTTGACAAAATTCAGTGCCCTTTACTGGTTCAAAATAAAACAAAACAAAATGAATAAAAAGCCAGAGAACTTCCTCCACCTGAAACTGAGAATATTGTGTTTGGAAAACCTACAGCTGTAGTGCTTCATGGTGAAACAGTGAATGCTTCTGGTGAAAACTCAGGAACTACTTCTATTGAATTTCCAGAGGTTATAGCCAAAACAATTGGTTAAGAAAATGAAATAAAAAGGAACCCACATTGGGTAGAAATAATGCTATCAATACTCATATGTGGCATTATTTTGTTAACAGAAAATCCTAAGAAATCTTCAAATAATACTGTTATATATAAACATAAATATAAAAATAAGCCTAAATTTATAAATGATAATGTCATTCAACAAGCTCATGTCCCTCTGTATCTGTAAGTTCCACATTTCCAGATTCAACAAAAACATTGGGATCAAATTTTATTACTTTGAGAATCATTAGGTTTTTGTTTTAGTTTTTATTTTATATATGGCATAGCACATATGACAAAGAAATAGAACAGATAAATTGGACTTCATCAAAATTAAACTTTTTCTTTCATGAAAGGATACCGGTAACAGTGAAAAGACAACCAAAAGAAGCAAAATATTGAGAAATATATGTTATAAAGAACTTGTATCTAGAATACATAAGTAATTCTTGCAACTCAACAATAAAAGGAAAAAGCACTCATTTTAAAAATGCTCCATGTGAACGCTGACATTTCTCCAGAAAATATTTGCAAATTGTCAATATACATGTGCAAAGATGCCCAATACAATCAGTCTTTAGAGAAATGCAAAAATGACTATAATAAATATATATATATTGACAGTGATATAGAGGAATTGAAGACTTCAGGCACTTCTGGTGGAAATATGTATCTGCTTTTGAAAAGTATCTGGTAGTTCTTCAAAAGGTAAAAACAGAACTACCATATGATCCAGCAATTCCACTCCTAGGAATACAGTCAAGAGAACTGCAAATATATGTCCATAGTAAATTCTCAGCATAAATAGTTATAGAAGAATTACTCATGGAAATAACCTAAGTGTCTATCAAGTGATAAATGTTGTATAGCCCTACAGTGGAATGCTACTTTGTCACAACAAGAATGAACTAGTAATTCTTGCCATAACATGAATATACAATGAAAATATTATGTCAAGTGAAAGGAATCAGTCAAAAAGTCCATGTAATGTGTAACTCCATTTATCTGAAAATTTCCAGAGAAAACTGGAACCTAATAAGGGATGGGGAAGGTAAAAGTGGGTTATAACTTTAATGGGTACAGAGTTTCTTTTGAGGAAGATGAAAACACTCTACAATTAGATACTGATGATGATTTCCCAGCTCTGTAAATGTGGTAAAAAAAAAAAAAGGACATTGAGTACATGCCTTGAAATGGTAAATTATGTTAGTTAATATTGTAATAAAGCTCTTATTTACAAAATATACAAGGGCTTTTAATTTTACTTATAGTAATTTTTATAGCTGAGATTGGGTGGTGTACACAAAAACATGTTCTGCATTATTTTGATATGGTGGTCATTTCATTATATTTAATGCCTGCATATAAAAAATTTCAAAGGAAAGTATAAAAACAAAAAAAGCTTTACATGTAATTTCTGTTAAAATTTACTGCATGTTAAGCACTATCTTAGAATCTTCCCAAATCACAAATAATTTTCACTTTTCTCTCACTATTCAAGTAGTACTCATGAAGCCATTTGAGGAAAACAACCAATGTTACAGATGAGAGGTATAAAATCTCAGGAGATGACGTGGTTCACGTCTCCAGTTGTCTACTTTCATTAAAGTAAACATAAAACAGAGATATACTGATATTTTCTCTGATATTTTCTGGCTGTATACAGCATACTGAGATTCCTTAAAGGTAGGGATTTTATCCTCTTAATTTCTCACTGATCAGTGGATGCATTCTTATTTTTATATGGATGCCAGCTACTTTTCATTTTTTTATCTTCTTTTTATAAATTTGACACAACCTTAGTTTCCTTAACATTTTCTAATGTGATCCATTTTTTTCTGGAGAATTAAATATTTTTTCCTGGAAAATATCACAATACAATCAGAATAAATGACCTATTTTCAATATTTTGAATTACATAGTCATTCATGTAATCTAGTATTTATAAAAAATATGTGAAGTATAAAGAAACACAATGTAAAGAATACCCATACCATCCCTATTTTTGCAAAAAAAATTACCATAGATCTTCGAGTTCTATACATCCATCCCAGATCTAACTCTTCTCTACAGATTTTCTGAGATGTTTTTAATGCTTATGTAGTATTTGAAATATCCTCCCTTTTCCAAGCTCTTGAAAATACTTTTAATAATGTTTAAAGATTATAAAAATACACCTTCATGTTTAGATCTTTAATAGACTTTCCTGTATCCTATGTAGCATCAGACCTGATTTTATTTTTTCCCTATACAATTAACCATTTTTCACATTCTCTCAACTAATATAACTTTATGATTTTTTAAGGTCAGACAGAGCAAATTACTTATTTACCTCTACCTTATTACTCACCCTCAAGAATGCCTTTACTATTCTTATCCTTTCTTCATAATATTCATAAACTCTTTCTTATGAACTTTAAAATCAGCTTATCAAGTTTCTTATTCCACTTCTAGCTTCAATTAAAATATTCTCTTCAGATTTTGGTTGAACTGACATTAAGCCTGTACAGATCAGTTGATATTTAATTAATTGGGAAGAATTGATA